TTACTCAGCACTAAAAAATAACAAAATCATGGCATTTGCAGGGAAATGGATGGCATTAGAGCAGATTATGCTAAGTGAAGTTAGCCAATCCCTAGAAAACAAATGCTGAATGTCTTCTTTGATATAAGGAGGGGGACTCAAAACAGAGCAGGGTGGAAGAGCATGAAAAGAAGATTACCATTTAGAAGGGATGAGAGGTGGGAGGGAATGGGAGAGAGAAGTGGAATTTCATGGAAATGGAAGGATACCCTCATTGTTATACAAAATTACATATAAGAGGATGTGAGGGGAAAGGGGAAAAAAAGAGAGAAATGAATTACATTAGATGGGGTAGAGAGAGAAGATGGGAGGGGAGGGGAGAGAAGGGGGAATAGGAAGGGAATAGGAAAGGCAGCAGAATACAACAGACACTAGTATGGCAGTATGTATAAACTTGTATGTATAACCAATGTGATCCTGCAATCTGTACACATGGTAAAAATAAGAATTCATACCCCACTTGAATCAAATATATGAAATATGATATGTCAAGATCATTGTAATGTTTTGAGAAACCAATAGAAGTTAAAAAAAAGAAACAAGAAGAGACAAGGCCCATATTAAAGAGATTTAAAAATTCTACTGAAATCTATAAGAAAATGTTTGAATAAATTATGAGGTATTAAAAAAAGTACAAACTTAATATCTTGCATAGAATTTATCACCCTATGTTTATAGACTCAAAAAGCTTTCATGATTTTAATCTTCAACTGTGTTTTAACAAAGCCACATTATTAAGGGCTCTCTACTTCTGGCTTATTCTTTCTTACTTAGTCTTTTCTCCCATATGAGATCCTCACCACCACAGTCATCAATGGCTGACCTTGCATTATAATTCAAAGATCACTCTATGGAACATCTTCTCCATTGATTGACTGTATTCAATTTCAGGCTTCATAGCAGGAAATTCATATATATATCTCACAGCTTTATGTTGTTCACAATATCTACCACAAGGCCTTGTACCTTTTAGGCACTGAATATATGTATAGGGATACACTTATGATTCTTGGGTGCTTTTTGTCACATGTGCTGGAGAATGAACCAGAGTTTTCCCTTTGTATCCCCATAGTTTCCAGGAATATTCCAAACATATTTAGAATTAGAGAAATGCTTTTATTTGGACGGTCAGTTTTGAATACATTAGGTAGGTATCTCTCACAGACAGAAATATAAAATGACAAACAGCTGTGGTCAGAGTGAACCATGCTAAAAGACTGAATCTGAGTGATCAGAAATGCCTTTCAGCAGTAGGAGCAACAACCACTGGAACCAGATTCAAGCCAAATGTGATAGGTCTTACACTGAAAAAGGATCATTATTTGTGATTCAAAACAATAAATAAACACAGAACACCTAAAGAGAAGAAGGCATCCTGCTATAATTTGGATCTGGAATGTTGCCCAAAGGTCATGTGTTGAAAGCTTGGACCCCAATGTAACAGCATTCAGAATGGACTCTACAGAAAGGCGAATTGAATCCTGAGCTCTAACCTCATCTGTGGATCAATCCACTGATGGGTTCATGATTGGACAGGACTGTTGGGAGTTGGCAGTACTGTGGGCAGTACTGTGGGCAGTAGGGCCTAGTTGGAGGGCCTAGTTGGAGGGGAGGTCATTGGAGTTGATTCCCTGGAAGGGTACATCATATTCCTCAGTCCTTTCTTCCCCCCACCATTTCCCTGATCTCCATGAGATGAGCAGCTCTGTTTTGAAGCCAGGCTCTCTGCCATGGTATTCTGCCTCACTTCAGGCCATAGCAATGGAGCCTGAAATTGAACCAAAATAAATATGTACTCATTTAATTTTCTCAGGTATGTTGTCAAAGTGATGAAAAAGCCTTCTAACACACACACACACACACACACACACACACACAGGAGGAATGGTCAAAAGGGAGAAAAGGATACTTGGTATTGTTGATGGCTTCTTCAACAGTAGACACAGCTTTTAATAAGCAGTTTGGCAATAGAAGCAATAAAGAAATGATATAAAAACCTAGCACCCACTAGATTATAAATATTAGGAAAGAAAAATCAAAGCAAATGTAATGCATCAGTATAAAGTATATCTTTCTAAGAAAAAGTTCAATGATAAACCCATGAAATCAATGCAAAACAGGAGATAACCCAACCATATATCAATTACTGACTAGCTTAATGTACATCAACAAAAACTCTCAAGGTAAGAATTAAGAGTTGTCTTGAACTAGTGATTTTTCACAGATTGAATATAAATGACATAATTTTTTTAAAAAATTTACCAATTTATACATGTATAAAAGGGAAGAGTCTCTGACATAAAGAAAATATTCAGAACTATTAGAAAGGAAAATACTTCATTGTTCTCTTTTAAGCATTCAGTATATGAATGAATTTTATAAATATGTGCTTAAAGAGGATCCAGGATCCAAGGGTCCTCTTTTTCAGAGAGAGAAACATGGAAGGAAATGAGACAGAAGACCACAAGGAGAAAGTTACAAGAGATAAAGTATGAGGGGAAGGAGGTCTTGTTCTGTAGCGTGAAGGGGATATGAAGGAAAAGGCACTATCTTTGTCAAATGCTGACTTGAACCTTTGAGCAGCTCATCCTGACTACCTTGAAATCCCACGTTCACTCCCCATGAACCACAAAGATCATCAATAACCAACTTCCTCAGGTTTCATCCTCAATGTGCCCCTCATGCAGCATCTGACCACGTACACCAACCTTTGCCCCCCCCTTTCCTTTTGCCTTAATCACAAAAGATATTATGATTTTTCTTTATCCATTTCTCCACTCACTCTTTCTTCTTCAACTCCTTCTCCTTTTTTTTTCTTCCAGTTCCTCCACTAGATATTCCCCCCAAATATTTATACTAAATAAATAAAATACTGTCTAGGAAACAACAAACCAATGCTGAAACATAATAAGCAATTGAAAAACTGAAGCTTCCTTTTCCTCCCTGTGCCTTCTTTCCTCAGTGATATCATCAATGCTCATGACTTTAACAATCGCTTCCACATAGGCAAGACTTAACTTTCTTTATGATATTGGTGATTTATTTTGATCATTTTATACACAGCAGAACTACATTTAATTCTTTGTCCTACTTATAAAAGTCACTAGATGCGAAAGCATCTGCTTTCACAGTTTGTATAACATTTATGGACTATTTTAAATTATTTTTTAAAAAATATTTATTATTTAGCCTTTATTGGACACAACATCTTTATTTTAATTTTTTTATGTAGTGCCTTCTAAAACGTACACACACACCCACACCCACACACAAGCATCCCCCCCACACACACACAAACAGGAGGAATGGTCAAAAGGGAGAAAAGGATACTTGGTATTGTTGATGGCTACTTGAACAGTAGACACAGCCGGGGTACAGCGTGGATTTTCAACTTCAGCAGATGCTAAAAGGGGCTTAAATTTTTATATTAGTCTTTTTTGAAGAGAGATTGACTAATACAGGCCTGATTTCTCTCTCAGATTTGGAGATGAATAAGAAGGACAAAGAAGATTCCCTTTTCTAGCATAGGACACAAATGCAGTCACTAGTTTCTGATAGCAATCTGAGGAATTATGTCTACTTGCTCTATCTTGAAGGCAAGAGACATTATGAGGTGATTAATATAATCCTTAGAATCTATTTAACCATTAATTTTCCTAAAATTCTTCCTTTTTTAAAATTTTATTTCTGCCACCTTGAGTATTTGTTCCCTGAATAGACATATAGAAAGAACAGCTCAAGGAAAAGAGTCTCCTGAGTATGTGCTTCTGGGAAGAGAGTTATGGGAGCAAATCCAAACCCCTCCTAAAGGGTAATAAGGAAAATGATCCTAAACAAAACAAAAAGCAAATATGAACAAAGTGGCAGCAGGCTCTATTTGTTGGCCACTTTCTCTGCACCAGCCATTAGGTGAGAACTACACACTATGTTCTCATTTACTCTTCAACTCTTGCCTGTGAGAGAGGTTTTATAAATGCATTCTGTCGGTTGGTTTAGCTCCAAAATTGCTTTGGTCCCAAATGGTATGTCTTTTACAGCCCACGTGCTTCATCTCTTTGCTTTGTCCCCAACTCTACAAAACTGCCTCTTCATTAACTTGTTGGAATTTAAACACCTTGGAAAGCAGGGCCTTATCTTAACGCCTTCTGATCCTTAATTCTAGGTATGGGATTTAAATTTAGGATTGTTACTCCATAGTAGAAAATTTCTCAACATTTTATTTCACTCTGTACTGTTTAAACCGGGATTATATTTGGCATTGATAAACAACAACAGGTTAAGGGAACATCAACCTATTGGCTCAAAAACAAAGTTTCTTAAGTGAAATTGAAGTGGAATTTTTGAGCACTTAAATAAACTTCAATCAGAACTTACAAGGACCATATAATATTAAAATGAACTCAAAAATTTATAGATTAGAGCAAAAATTTATTTTTGGAAAGGGTAAAGATGGTTCTTTAGTGACATATAATCCATACTATAATTTGAATTCTGAGAAAGATTAAGAATTTGTGATGGTTTATTTTATATGTTAACATGTCTGAGCTATGATGCTCAGATATTTGGCCAAATATTACTCTGGGTGTGTCTGTGCTGGTGTTATGGGGTGAGATTTACTTTTGAATCGGGGACTTTTAATTAGTAGATTGCATTCTGTAATGGAGCGACACCTCACCTTGTCAACTAAATGCACCTGAATGCGACAAAAAGTCCACCTCTCCCAGACAAGAGGGAACTGTCCAGTGAACTATCTTTGGATTTCATCTACAACATTGATTCTTTCTGGCTCCACAGCACACTGCCTTTGGACTCAAACTAGAACACTTTCCTGTAGCTCTGGCTCCTCCCAGCCAACCCTGCCCAATCCTGTGAGCCAATAGCTGACAGGCAAGTGCAGGGAAGAAGCAGGGGCCCTGCAGGGGGTGAGTGAGCTACTGGATGCCAGTCCCTGGTCAAAGCCCAGGACAGGCTTCTGAGTTTACAGGCAGGAAGGGATGGTTGGGGTTGGCAGAGCCCCAGGAACCTCGCGCTGTGAGGAATTCTGAGCGCTTGCGTCATAATTGACCCTAGCAACGCTGGAGGACGTTCGGGGCAGAGAAGTGGATGGTGATGGACGCGGTTTTCGGAGCTGGTCCGATGGATCTCTGAAGTGACGGCGATGTTGTCCTGGTTTGGAGGCCTGGGCTCAGGCTTAGGCCACTTCTTGGGTCAGGTGGGGAGCAGCTTGGCTTCCTTCACTGGCCATAACTCCAGCTTCACCAGGGAAATACTTCTGGATGACTTAGGAGACCTAGAAGTAGCTTTACATCATTATTGGAGAAAGGAAATGGAAACTACTGTTTCCACACTAAGATGTGAGAATGAAACACTGAAAAAGTATTGTACTGATCTGGAAAAAAAGCATGAAGCATCAGAGCTGCAAATAAAGCATCAGTCTATAAGTTACCAAAATCAACTGCAACAGAAAGAGGGAGAGATCAGCCATCTTAAAGCAAGACAGATTGTACTGCAAGATCAAGTGTTCCAACTACAGGCAGCTGCTCAATCAGTACCTTCAGGAGCTGGTGGTGTACCAACAACTGCACTGGCTCCATTGGATTCCCGCATCAGTAGTCATTTTTCAGCCTTTCGTGATGATGACATGGACTTTAGTGACATAATTTTATCACAACAAGAAACAAACAGATTGTCAATTGAAGTTGCAAGACATGAATCTGAAGTTGGCCACTCGAGGCAGATTGCTGAGGCTCAGGGAACACATCATTCTGACACAAGTGAAATCTGCAAAGTACAAAATACTATCAAGACTCTTCAACCAAACCAAAGTCCATACATAGATGATCATCAGCATGAAATGTCAGTTTTGGAGCACAGTCCTACTGTGGCAGAAAAGGGAAAAATCCTTCCACAGAGTTCAGCAGTGGAAGAAGTGTTCAGGCTACAACAAGCCCTGGCTGATGCTGAGAAGAAAATCATGAGACTAAATGGCTTAAACCAGGTTAACCATCTTGCAGAAGACAATCTGAAACTGAAAATGCATGTTGAAGCTTTAGAAAAAGAGAAGTCATCATTGAGTCAAGAAAAAGAGGAACTTCAGATGTCACTGTCAAAATTGAGCTATGACTATCAAGTCATGAAAAAGAGAACTTCAACAGACATGAATTTGAATGTACAATTACTAGACTTAAAACTTCACTTGAAGGCAAAGGAGGAAGAACTGAATCAGACTATCAATGAAAAGAAAATGCTGATAGCTGAGTTAGAAGAACTGGATCATCAGAATCAGGAAGCTACAAAGCACATAATTTTGATAAAAGATGAGCTATCAAAACAACAAAATGAAGGAGACCTTGTCATCAAGAAGTTGGAACAAGAACTAGGTGATGAAAAACAGAGAGTTCATCAACTTGAGGATGATAAAATGAACATATCCCAAGAGTTGCATGTGCAGAAGGAGAAGTTAACTAGGAATGCACAGAGCCTCAGTGATTTGCATTTAACCAAGCAGAAGCTTGAAGGTAAAGTAGAAGATTTAGTAGATCAGCTAAATCAGTCACAAAAAAATAGTTTCAACATCCATCAGGAAAACCTTGGGCTTAAGGATCACATTAGACAAATTGAAGATGAGCTGTCTGGATTTAAGAGTAAGTACCGAAGTTCTCTGAATGAAGACTCTAACAGTCATTGTAAGGATGACATGCTTAAAGAACGGGAAGCTGAAGTTAGCAATGTAAGGCAAAATCTTTCTGAAGTAGAACAGCTCAATGAAAATTTAAAGAAAGTTGCTGTTGATCTCAAAACGGAAAATGAAATGTTGATTATAGCATGTGAAGATGTAAGACATGAGTTGGAAGAATCTATTGCTGCTAACAATCAAATCTCTCAAGAAAAAGACACTATCACGGAGACTCTCAAAAGAGACAAAGAAGAGATTGAAGCCAAACTGCACCAGGCAGAAAAACGACTGTTGGAAGAAGCAAATAATCACAGGCAGACTATTCAGGAACTCTCCAAAGCACATAATTTGAATACCTCTGCCTTAAAGCTGAAACACGAATGTGTAGTTCAACTCACTCAAGAGAAGGACTTTGAAATAGCAGGACTCAAAAAGAATATTGAGCAAATGACTGCTGGTCAAAAAGAAACTGAGGAAATTTTGGCATCTTATGTAGAAGAACAGAAGCAATTGATACAAGTCATAAATGAGAAAGAAGTTTTTATTGGAAAACTCGAAGAAAAAAGTTCAGAACTACAAAAGGATTTAGATAAGTGTTCTCAGGCCTTAACAGAAAATGAAACTTTAAGGCAATCCATTGAAGGAAAGGACAGAATTCTTGCCTACATGAAAGCAGAAAACAAGTATCTGCAATTAGAGGTGGAAATACTTAGGGAACAGCACAGTCAAGCTGTACTAGTGGCTAAGCCTAAAGCTCTTGATGCTATCACAGAACTAGAATTGGAGGTATCTCAACTGAATATAGTCAAAAATCATCTGGAAGATGAAATTAAAGACCGTCTGAATATAATTGAAAATCAAAACAAGCGTAAAATGCAACTCCTTCAGTCTTTACAGGAGCAGAAGGAGGAAATGGATGAATTGAAGTACAAATATGAGCAGATGAATGCTGCGCATAGCCAGTTAATTTTAGAAAAAGAGGAGGAAATTAAGAACTTGCAGAAAACTATTGAAGAACTAAAAGCCCAGTTGCCTGGAGAAAGAGGAGATGCTCAAACACTGAATTCTGATATTTTTCAAGAGACCAAAGTAAAAATCCTAAGAAAAAAAGAGGTTCAACACTTACGGGTCCAAGAATTACGCCTAAACCGGGAGCTAGAAAGGCTACGCAGCCATCTCTTGGAATCAGAAGAGTCTTACACTCAGGAAATTTTGGCTGCAGAAGACAAGGAGATTAAACTGAGACAGAAAGTCACACTCTTGGAGGAAAAGCTAGTTGCATCTTCTAAAGCAAGTCACCAAGCCAGTGTGCAGATAGAGTCTCTGCAGGAACAGTTGAGTCTGGTCTCTCAACAGAGGGATGAGAATGCACTGCAGCTTTCGCTCTCCCAGGAACGAGTAAGGCAGTATGCCCTGTCATCAAGTAAGCTGCAAAGGGTTTTCGAGCACTTCCAAGAAGAAGAGAAAGCTATGCATTCTGCTGAATTAGCCAAAGAAAAACAGTCGATAGCTGAATGGAAGAACAAGGCTGAAAAGCTAGAAGGAGAAGTATCATCATTGCAGCAACGTTTGGATGAAGCAAATGCTATGTTGGATTCTGCTTCCAGACTGAGAGAAGACTTAGATCTCAAGGAAGAACAGATGGAAGAACTGAAAAAACAAAAAGAGCTCTGAAAAGAAATGTCTGACCATGTACAGCAGAAATTGTCGACTTTGGTCAGCAGCACAGAAGGAAGAGTGGACAAAGTCCTCATGAGAAACCTTTTTATTGGTCTTTTCAAGACACCAAAAGACAAACATCGTGAGGTGTTGCTGTTGATGGGGAGCATCCTGGACATTCCAAAGGAGGAATTGGAGCAATTATTGAATGAAGATTATGGTGGTGTCAGTAAGTGGATGAGTAGTTGGCTTGGAGGGGCATCGAAAAGTGTCTCCAACATTCCTTTGAGACCAAATCAACAACCTGCGCTTAATAGTTCTTTTGCAGAACTCTTTGTCAAATTTCTGGAAAAGGAGTCTCATCCCTCTGTTTCACCACCAAAAGTTTCTGCCCATGCCATGGACTGTCTAGACTCACCAGGAAGGAGACAGCAAGTTGTAAATGTACCAGGAAATGTTAAAGATGCACCCGAATTAAGAGCTGGCAGAAGCACCAAGGGGAATCCATTCTTGGTTCCCCGTTCACCAGCTGTGCCTCTTAGTAACCTAGCTGGCGTTGGACTTGGTGGACCTGGGCATCCTCTTTTTAAACCCATTGCAGATTTCTGGCATACCTTTACACCTTTGCCAGTGTCCCCGGACAATAGTACCAGAGTTGTACTCCAGGATCTTCTAAATATTTAGCATTTTAAAGAAGCCACAACACTTTTTGATGTTTTACAGCATGGCCTTTTGAAAAAGTACTCATGTATTTGTAGACAAAAAGAGAAAGCAAAAAAGCTGGTATATGTAGGTTTATAGCTACTAGGTATTTTATTTTATTTGGGGGGTTGTTGTTATGTTTTTTTGCTATAGTTCTTTTTTAAAAATTTGTTTTGTTTGTTATAGCACTTTTTTGTTTATAAAATTTTGTTCCAATGTAGCCGTTAATCATCACCAGTCATCAATCCTGATGTACTTTTGTGAGCAATTGTACAGAGCAGCATTCTTGAACCATTAGTTCCAACCTCTTTTTTTTTAAATAATAATATTTGTTAAATTTAATGGCATTAAGATAAAAAATGATACATGTAAATAACAGGAAACAAGAAAAATCCAACCCATAAGAAGGCGGTCTCAGATTTAGAGTACATGAAAACCAAATATAATGTTGCAAAAAGTTGAGAATATTTAGTTTATCCAAGATAACACTGTACAAGTACCAAGCGAAAATTCCAATGGAGAGGACGTAAACATGAAGCTTAGTGGATAAATACTTAAGATGCTTTTAATCCAAATTCTATGACCCCTATCCATTTTGCTTATTTCCATTTCTATATAAAAGTCACTTCACATTAATTCAGTTTTCCAGATGTTAAATATATCCAGAAGGAAGAGTATTTTATGAGTCAACCCCAAAGTGGGATCACATGATCCATTTCCAATGGAAAAGTTAATTAGTAAGAATGTATCATTAAATATCTGGACTGTTTATCTACATACTATTGGGGGCTCTACAAAAATTCTTATAAACACATTTTATAAAACATTAGATCCAAAGAAGTTGGGGAGAGAAATAAGCTAACAACAGTTTTTGAAAGATGAAAAGCTTTAAAATAGGAGTAGTTACAACCTTTTGATAAATTAAGGTAAAAGATCAACCAAAAGTTTCTATCTTAAGTAGGTGAAATCAGTGAAGAGAAAAAGCAGATTGCATAGCACATACTTCTCTGACACCTGTAGTCTCTAAAACTATTAAGAACATTTTTATTAAAATTAATTTAAACAAAATTTAATATATTTTTAAATATAAATTATATTATCATTTAATATAAATTAATCTAATTTAAATTTATTTTATTAGTATTGTTTAAATTTCTTTTATTAATACTATTGTTTGATTTAAATTTATTTTATTAACTGACATTGTTTATTAACTTATATTAAATTATAGTATGATTTATATTTAAAAATTCATTAAATTTTATTTAAATTAATACAATTTAACAAAGTAAATTTAAACAACATAATATAGATTGAATTAATTAATGTTGACTATATAATTTAATATAAATGTCAAAAGAGTTAATTTTAATAAAAATGCTCTTAGTTGTTTTAGAAATTACAGGTGGCAGTGAAGTATTAGCTATATTATCTTCTTTTTTCTCCTCTTTGATTTTACCTAACTTTAGCTAGAAACTTTTGGGTTATCTTTTGTTTTACTTTACCAAAATAAAAAAAGGAAGACAAAACACCCAGTAGCTACACATATCAGCTTTTCCTTTCTTATTTCTAAATTTCACCTTAACATTTACATTTTTTTACCAAAATTAAGATGCCATCAGTTGTTAGGCATACACAAAATCACTGAAACAACAACTGGAAGACACATCCAAAAGTCAGATTGGCTAAGTATTCAAAACATATAAATGTCTGAGAACTGATGAGCTCTGATAATAAAGTTTCCAACCTATGGAAAGTTTCCAAATGCTATGGAAAATGATGACATTTCTCTTTTTGTGTTTTTAAGCTGAGAACCTTCTAAGTACTAAGGTACGTTATCAGAAATTGTATGTAACTCAAGTCTTTAAATTTCTTATTTTTCCTGTACTGTAGACAAAGAGACTCACAATTCCTTGAGCTCTACTAGCATTTTAGTGACAGGAAAAAATTCAATGATGCATAGTTGCTTATTTGCATTCAATGTCTATCAATCTTACATACTTTGGGAAGGGTCACAAGCCACAGCCCTTATGCCTTCTGCTCTATTTCAAAGCTTCCAGCATCAGTTGCAACAATTCTAGGAAACACTGGGAATACTCTATGGTACAAAATGAACAATTACTTTTTTTTGAAAGCATCTCTAAGACATGAGTCATTAGGTGACTTTCTTGTTCTAAGTAAATTTACTGAATTATTATTAAGTGATAGCATATTAAGCCAAAATGAAAAATGAAAGCACATGTTTCAAATAAGAGCAAGGAAGAAATAAGAAGGTATGATGTGTGGTAAAAATACATGAACATGCAAATATTATCCAGCCTTCTTAAGTCCAATTTTCTCTCTTTTTTATTTATTTATGTTTTGGAGGTTACATTCTTGCATGATATTCATGGAACAACTTTTGGGGGGATACAATCAGAAATTCAGCACTAAAATCTGCCTTCCTGCAACATCACATGGCTTACCCCTGAGAAGAATATCAAAGTATATATTTTGCTTCGACTTGCCAAATTACTTGGAATCTTCTTCCAATAGACTTCACATGGTTGGGAAAAGCAGAGTTCAGATTTGTCTTAAGAGATTTTTATATATTCTACTCACTCCATTGTCTCTAGGTGAGCCTTTGGGTTTCAATGCCTGGAAAAACACTTCTTATATTTCAGAATTGAAGAGCTCTTGGAAACAGCGACCTCACTACATTCTTAAGAAAAATATGTTATACAGGTACTCAGAAAATTACAAAAATTAATATAGATTCAAGATTTTTAAGACAAGGCGTTTAATGGAGAAAACACCAAGAGAGCCTTAGAAGATTTCATACTCCCCGCATTCTTATAAAAAGCTTCTATATTGTAAAGATAAAACCAAACAGAAAAGTTCCTAAGAAAATATTGTGCTTTCAGTTTCCTTGTCTCATAAATTTTATTAAAGTTTCATTAAAGACCCTGTATTTGCTAGCCTTTTTATTAAATACTTATTTGAGATATTCTATTAATGTCTATCACTGGATTTTATTTGGTCTCACATTAATGTCGCTCCCTGTGACAAAGGGTACATGGGAGGCAGGCAGGATCAGCCTGTCATCTCAGAGGCATCAGCTGTCAGAACCGCGCTCTGACAGAGGTAGTGAAGCCCACTAGACCAGCTAGTGTCTCCTGGGCTGAGCAAGACGGTAAGTTTCTCGACCTGGCCTGCTACCCAACCTGGCCCACAATCACACTGAGTGTGGGGGTGAGTCAACAAAAAAATGTGCAACAATCTCAACTTTATTGTGTCAGGGACAAGGTTATATAGTGATAGAAGGAGGGAGTAAGAAGAGACAGGAGGATGATCCAATAAGGGGTAGTTATGTCACTATCACTAAGGGGCCTAGAAGGTTTTCAGATTAAACCCTTAGGCAGCACTAAGGTCCAAAGCCCATGCAGGGGCTAAAAGCCTGCGAACGCCAATCCAGCCAGGTCATGTATATGGAAATGCTCTGGAAGAACCCATGAGGCCACCTCAGCCACCACCCAATAATGGCCTGGGTCCCAAGAGAGGTAAAAGGTCCCAACAATTAAAATGTGTATACTTTTTATGAGCACAGATGAAATATTATTTGAGAAAATTTATTGCAAACCTTTAGCAATTTATGGACATGAAGTGAGTATCAAATGATAAAAAATGGAGTTTTCTTTCATGTCTATCATAAGTCTTTGTTTCCTCAGTTGCTGGGGAGGAACTTTAGGATGACTTGCTTAGAGTAAGAAATACTAGACTGGACAAAAGGGGCTGGAGCAGCTTTGCTGGTTAGCTTGACCGTTTGAAAAACTATTTGGGACAGGCAAAATATACCAAGACCAAAATCCATTGAACTGATCAAACTCTGCAACAGTTAACCAGAGTAGCTTCCCTTCTCTGTCCCCAATTTTGGAGCAATGCTCTGTAGGTGATACCTTGAATGATCCTTGGAATTGAAGAACTGCCATCCAGCAATTTATTTCCTTTTTTCTTGTCCTTCTCAGGGATGATAAGTGATTTCCAGAGATGAGGAGAGGGAGGAGTAAGAGAAGGTACTGGGAAATCTAATTGACGCAAATTAGGTTATGTGAATGTACCAATGTGTAACAAGGAAGTCCATTATTATGTACAATTGTAATGCACCAAAAAATGATCTTATTAAAGGAAAAAGAATAATACGATTTATATAACTTCGAAATAATCTGATCTTCTAGAAAACCACTTTACAAATAGTTTGTGCCTATCTATCAGATTTTTACCTGTTTATCAAGGCTTTGTCTTATGAGGACATGTATTTCTTTAAAAAAATAAAAATCTTTTACACCAAGCATGGTGTGGTGACAGATGCCTTTAATTCCAGGAGTTCGAAGCCACTCTCAGCAATTAAGAGAGACCCTGTCACAAAATAAAATAAATAGAACTGGGGAGGTGGCTCAGTGGTTAAGCATCCCTAGGTTTAATCCCATACGTAAACAAACAAACAAAAAATCATGTAAACAATCTTTTTATTTAAGCTAAGCAATTGAGATCGATCACGAAGTCATTACTTCAAGTCACTTGTGGCAAAAATTCATAATGAATTTGAATTTGAGTTTTAAATACCAATGAATCATGCCCAAAATGACTGTCCTAACAAAGATTGTGTGAACATTCATCTGTGTATGTGCAGAGATTTATGTATCTTCAGGTATATAAAGAATTTCAGTAACCTCAAGATGCAGTTTTTCTACAATCTAATTTCAAAAGTGCTAATCTCTTGCTGTAACATATGGGCTAAAAATAACATTTCTAACTCCATTTTCTACCTGTTATGGTTTCCTAGAGATGCTGAGTCTATGTAATCTTATATAGTCAGCTTAGTAACTACTTTAAAAACCACAATGACATCTCTGAAGGGAGTTAAATTAGGGAACTGGTTGGAAATAGAGCTGTATCCTTCCTATCCTGGAAGAGCAAGAGAAAGAGGTTCAATTGTTGCTTCTAAAGACCTAAGTTGGATTCAGGCTTAGGAAGCCCTTTGATTTACTTCTCTAGCAGCCATGCTGAGAGTTTCCAAGTCATTTATGTGTATACAGAACAAAATCAGATCAAGATGAATAAGCAAATGAGGGTATGGAATCCTGGAGTGTCCATCCACCTGAGGATGTGTGTGGGAGCCACAGTGATTTCCTCTCCTTGACAAGCTGAGGGAGTGTTTCATTGAATTCTTGGGTCCATCTGTGTTAACACACCTTGTGGTCTTCAGGCAAGGACAATGATAGAGTTGACAACTGAAAAACTAGTCAGGTGACTTTAACTAGTGGGACTCAAGAACCAACTGGTAAGCTTTATGGCACTTTTACAGTCACTAGTCAAATGTGGACTTATTCTATCTCATTTTTGGAGCCCTGGGGAACTTGCCAGACAACAATATTTGAACATATATTCACCACTGACATTTTAAGATGTACTGGAAAATGCCAAAGCAAAAGGACTTCAAACCAATATTTCTATCTATTTCACAGTGCCAATTTCAGCTCTTAGCTAGGGCTGGTAATATAAAGATGTGAGATAATGGTCTTTGGTGGCACTGTGTGTGTGTGCATGAGGATTAAGAGTGGTGGTGGTGGAGAGATGTGGAATGTCCATTCAGTAGGTTAATTACTTTAGGATTTTTGAGTGATTATACATACTTTACCTGGCAATTTCCATTAACCAGTAAGAAATGGATGATATTCTCCTTCCCATTGACAGGAAATCTGGGTCACTAAGGTAAGAAATATATTTTCTATTTTATATAAGGGTTAGTGCAAAACGCAGCTATTATTTACTATAAAGAGTGGGTCAGTGCTGAGCACAGGGAGCATATGAAGCTGTAGGTGGCACTTACAGTGAGCAAGGATGAGCCACACTAAGGATGGCTAAACCACAGTAGTCTTTTGACCTAGGACCTT